TTAGAATAAGCTAAAAGCAACTGAATTGATGATAAAAAGAACAATTATTTATGAATTCACGTCCAATTTAATTAAAAAACTAAATAAACGAAACAATAAAACAGCATTCGCTTGCAAGTGTGAAGGCCCTGGGTTTCATCACTTGTAACGGTTTTTTGGGTGCGTGCTGCTGAGGGGTCACATACTGGAACAAAACAGCCATCTGGTGCTTCTACATTTTCACATATTGCCTAACTTGGACTTAGTCGTGATCACAAATATAAAAAGGGAACCTAAATGAATCAGTACTTAATAAACGTTGATTATAACTAATAACATTTGTATTAAAAACGTGTGTTTATTTCCGCCTTCATAAGTAACAAATTATTTATCTCAGACCCGTGAATAACTTAGTAACTAAAAGGAACAGCTAAATGATTTTTTGTTTATTATGAATAAACATGGAAATGTGAAATGGATTCCAAATGCATGACATGAATTGTTTTCCTCTCACCGGAAAAACGAACAATCCTGGCTGATGTTTAGAACATTCTTTAACTTATAAATAATGACAATATACATGAATCTCATTTTATTGTTTCTGTATGTTTGACGTTCTAGATATGTTGAAAAAGAAATCTCCATAATAACTAACTCCGTAACCGTTCGAAATTGATATTATTCTTGCTTTAACGTGATTTGATAGCCAAAAGAGTTCTGTCAGGCACTTTGGAAAGCCCCCGAGGAAGTCTATGTGTGAACCTTCTTTGCCCAACAGTCAACTTAGTAAGCTCACGTTCATCTACTTCTGTTTCCAGCCAGAAAACGTTCGCCTCAACTGTTACAGGCTTTTTCGCTGTTTGGCTCCTGAGTGCTGTACATCAGGGATTCCGAATGCAGCATGGTTTGATTCATTAATACCGAGAGTATCTGCATATTTAATCTGGTTTATATTCAGTATCCACAAATGAATTCAGAACAAGTAGACTTAATATTATCTTGCACTTACAGAATTACTAATCAAATGGAGATACCCCAACAATAAAATCATTGCCAAAGGTTATTGTCTTCTTGCCAAGAGTGCATCATAAAGAAAATTCCTATAAATAAAACTCATAGTTATACTGCTAAGCGTCACTCAAGTTACTGCATTTGTCAATAAACTGTATGCATTATTTTGTGAATAACATAGTCTTCGAAAAAAAAACAGTTAAAAGACTAATTGACAACCCCGCACTTCAAAACGCAAGATTCTTCTCAACTATTACACTTCTGAAACCTAAATAACTGTATTGAAATTCGATGTGAAAACACTCAATTCAGTAACTGAGTGCCTAAACTAGTGTGTAGCATCTCTATTGAAATGACCATTTGTACATCCTCCTGAAGCCAACCCAATAATTTGAATACGTTTAGCAAATTTATTAATAGACACTGCATAACAAATATGAGCACGTGGTTGTATCTCATGTAGGCACAGTGAGAATAACTTGATACACTAAAATTTAAATGGATCAGTGGTGAAAACTAAACATTGACCCTTAAAGCGTAGTCAGTAATTTCATGAATATAAAATTTTGTTAATAAATAAATCAGTACAAATGTAAAGAATTTAAAACCATATCATGTTTTCTGTAGAGTAAAATCATTTCATATTCTCTTATCATAACTAGTTGCCCTGAAAATTAGTGAGAAAGCAATGCTTTGAATGAAATAAAAAATACTTGCAACTTCTTCAAACTACACCCGCCAGTGCATGCCACTACTTAACCAAATATCAATTTACTCTTTTTTATGAGAGAACAATTCGTTTCCTAAAAATCAGTGAAGCATTTTAAAAAGGCACTTAATCTAGTGATTCAAACTCAAATTTTGTCAATCCTTGACGATAAGATGAACTAGAATTTAATTGTTTTCACTATGGACCAATTTGTTTACCAAAATTGTATAAGTAACTACCAGAGCACAATTGTGTCCAAATGAACAGTTCTAAATAACACATGTGTAACAAGATTTCCTCATAAATCTAAGCAATCCATCACTTGCTAAATAAACTGAATAGTTTAACCTTATAGTAGAGCAGTAACGTTTAAATACAAGAAATTCTTTATATTGACGAGACTGTTTGCCTTTGTACTAACCTTTTGTAGCTGTTGGGGTTATTTCTATCTTTCAGAGAAAAATCAAATTATGTCATACAATTGCTTACTCAAATAACATGATGTGTATTTAGTAAGTCAATAAATAGATTTTCTCACTATTCCCTTTAAATATAGGATATGCAATAACTAATAAATATTTTTAACAATGTTCCAAATGCAGTTTTACTAACCGATTTTAAAAGTATCGTAGCCACAAAAAGCTAAAAAGAGAGCAAAATATTCATATTGTTTCAAAGATATTTCGTGAACTTTCATGAATTTAGTTTTGTGTTTTACATTTCACATATTTTGCTACTCAAATATTTTTTCATTCAAAGTCATTATCAGATAACAAACACTTATTTTTAAATATAGAACGTATTATGCAGAATCGAGAGAAAACTTTATATATCTCATGTCCCAGAAATTTTTAAAAACATTCAAATAAGAAATGCTTTTGAAGTTTATCATAAAAATCCTGTTAAAACTTTGTGTCGCTGCTAGAATTATATCTTATAGAATCGATGAACCTTATTTTTGAAAATGTCTCGAAATCTTTGCTATAACTAACCTCAAGTAAGTATATAATTTTTTCTAAAATTTTGAATATATAGTGTAGTCTGATTTTACAACCTAAAAAATGATTTTCGAGGTTAATAAAAACGTATATGGGTGGTTATTTATTTAGTGACGAAGACATTTTGCTAATGTGTACTCACACTCTTCTGGATATCTCAGATTTTGGCTAAGTAGGTCACATACGTAGAAGTTCAAGATCAATCGCAGAAAGATAACGCAAAGTTGTATCTTCTTGGATTTTCTACGGCCGCGATAACTAATCTAAACCTTTGATATTACAGTCGTGAAGAATGAGGTATAAACTAAAGTTGCTATCTGAAGAAAAAGATAAATTGCTTATAAACTTAAGACTAGCCTCAACTATAAGAAATGATAATTTCTCGCTACAAACATGCCTATCCTTCTTACCACAAGTACTAGATTTCTAGCGAGGCCGGCGGCGGAATCTAATAACTGGCCCTATTATTTTTGTTTGACATGTGATACATACCTATCAGCTGTGTATATCTTTTATATTTTGCTGTCAGCCACTGTCTTTTAGAAATGTTCCTCCCGAATTTACCTCTTTCTTAAATAAGGGCAGATGTACATGTGAGTCATAGAATTTTAACTGCTATCAGGAACACTTTAATTAGATTTAAATGCCTTTAGATAAACTTGCTTGTTCCACTGTTTTGCACACGTCTGCTTCTGTAAACCAATTAAGGCCCTTGTTCAGAAAAAAATAGTAAAACATCAAAAACTTGAACATCTTTGTTTACTAAACTACATGTCACATTTATTACAAGTGTTTTATGTAGCTTTTGTTAAGCGATCTTGAATTTTTATTAATTCGGCCTGAGACTTTACCAAAACTTATGACAATATTTGAATATTGTGCCGCCTTAGCGACTTAATAAGCATGACTTAAACATATAAAGGTGTTTTACAAACAAAAACTATAATCGTCTTTTTAAATAACAGACAAAGTCATCTGGGGTTGTTTAAATCTATCTGTGTTCAATGAATCTTTTGACATATTGGTGATAAGCAAGTATTACAGATTTTTAGTAATTCACCTATAGGACTAGAGGAAGTAGCAACAAGAACCATTTCAAACATATTGTTTATAAAATGAAATTCTTGATGAAGCCTTAACCCTATTAAAGTATAAAATTAGTGGAAACTAATCACAGAGATACTTGTTATTCAAAACACATAATTTCTTTAATGACCAATGTTATCTCGGAAAAGTCTAGATGAATCCATAAAGCTTACAATAGCAGTCATCAACCATGCAGCTTTTAGATTACCTATATTCAATCTTTTCCTTTATTTTTGATATCTTATGGTAAGCAGACAAAAATGGAGGAAAAATTGTCGTAAAATCTATCATTTGACATGATTAAAGTAAGTGACCACCATTCATATACCAGTAGCGTTTAAACTCCATTAAAATGTATAGCTTACGAGGCTGAGCATGAAAACAAACATTTGTCAAAAAGCCGGTGCTGATATCTGTAACTTGTACTTAGTGTCCTCTAAACATACACGTATTTCCTAGATTCTATAAAGTATACATAATGAATATACATGGTTTACATTCTGTATAACAGCGCTTGACAACAACTTTAACAAATTTATTTATTTTCTGAAATAAACCTGCCTTACATTGACTCAGCCCATCTTGTTTCAGGAAATTCTGACAATAGTAAATATTACATTAGTATGAAAAATAAACATACTTAAATCCTTGACTTTTAGCCTACTTAAAGTTCCATTTGCGCTACACTGTGCCATGTTACTCTTTCTTCTAATCTAACAGGGTGACGTCGCCTATATGAACGAGTTGTTGAAGTTTCTAAATGTACATGATGACTATTTGAACTTTGCTTCAGAAATATCATTACTGTGCCGAAAAATTGGTTCAAATATTTATTCAGTTCCACTAACGAAGAGAGATACACTACTAACTGAACACTGGATGAAGTTTAAAGGCTTTCACGCAGATTAATTGATATACAATTTAACAAAAAGCTTATTCTGAGATTTCAGTTCCAAGTTATTTACTTGTTTATTATCACTCTATGGGTCATAAATTTATAAACTACGAAGTGATTTTAGCAACTTTGCAGCAACTTTGTCTAAAATGGAAATAAATTGTAAACCTTGTATCAGTTTAATACGCTTAAACTGCGATAAAAACTTGAATAGTAGAGGTTGCCATCTATTGTCATTGTCAAATAGATTTCGATATAAATAACGATAATTTTCTGTGTTTCATGATCGGCGAAAGGTGTCAATAGATTAATTTTGGCATACCTGTATCAATTTTTTTAATCAGAAAGCAAGGCATACTCCTTTGAAAGCATTTACAATTAACTAATATTCCCGATAAAACAATAGGTATTTCATTTGTGCGGGTTAAAAAGTTGAAAATATTCATCACCTCAAACAAATTCAAGGTCAGTGAGGGAGGAGGAATGTAATTACCAAAGGTATTATTTCTGACAAAGTTTTATGTCTCTTTTAAAATATTCGTGATCATTTATGCCAGATATGTGAGTGTTTACTAATTTCTGCAGAAATTTCACACTATTTAGAAAAGTATAGTTGCATGAGAGATATCTTTTAGCTGTCAAAGGTATCATAAAACGATATTTGTCTTCCCCACCTTTTGTTTGAAGCAACAGCAGTACACTAACACCTAAAGATGTCGGTCTGATAAGTAACAACTGTTAATTACAAGTTGAATTGAAAATGAAGATGCATTCCCTATTCTTAATGGGTAGGAAGTTGTAGATCCCGAGTTGTTATAATATACTAAAACTAAGAGGCGAATTTGTAGGAGTCATTATGATGGGTATTTTCCGGGTTGTTGCTATAAACAAATCCCGAAATTGTAAGTTCACAACATCAATGGTAACTTCATTGGTTTTTTCGATCATGTATCCGCACCAGATCACGAGTGCGTATGCTGTGCTACGAATCCCTTGCAATTGTTATTCAGCTCAGACAAAAGGCTTCTTGACATATCGATAGCTCTCAAGATACATCTTCGAACCACTTCATTTCTGACTTTTGAATTGACTGGTGTGGTATATTTCGATTATAAAGGTGTTACATTTAAAGACATTCTTAAACTCTGAATATCTGTGACATCTTAGGTGGTGAGGACGACGTGGTATCATACAAAAAACGATAAACCTCGAGTCTATTACTTGTTAAAACATATATATCGTTTTCATCTATATTTCACGTATCGCCACATTACTTTTATATCCTCGAATTTTTCAGCAGTTTACATATTTTATCCTCATTATAAGCAAAGAAATCCTAAACTGTTCAAGAATTGGATTCTTATGTATCCCAAATCTCAACTCATTCTATTCTTGCTTAAAATATCGAAGTTTTGTTCTGCTGACTACCATGTGCACGACGAAACAGTCACACGTGTTCGACCCCTAACTGTTGAGAAGGCACTATCACCTGATATTGAAACAGACGTCACATCTAGTATGCCAATGAGTGATTTTTCAGATCGTTATGACACTTTATAGAAAGCAATCCTTAAGTTCAGGGACATAATCCACCGAAAAATGTTAGAACAACTGTTCTACAGCACAAAATTAGAACGCGCGTCAGAAATGGAAATGTTATTATGTATACGAGACGTCGTTGGTCAAAAGACCTTTGACGAAAGCCTCATTAGACAAACCCTATTACCTATGCTTCCTCAACAAGCGCAAGTAATTCTCGTCTCATTCCCAAACACCGCCGGTGTATTTGCTGATCAAATTATAGAGACCACGAGAACCCTCAGAGAGGCTTAACCCATTTGTCATAATGATGTTAAGCAATACATACTCAGATAAAAAAAGCATTATTAACGTTATGTACTGTGTTGTCCAACAAGATTTCAATTTGTGTCTTAGACGTTGTCTCAGCAGATGAATAGTCAACAGCTATTTTTCATGATTTGTTAGATAAAGTTAATATGTCCAAATTGATTGAACAGTGTCAATAACCTCTCAGTCACCTAAAAACAACACTGTGTTCTTTGAATATATTTTTATGCGGAAACTGGTCCCCCATTCCAAGCAAATTAACTTGTGTACGAGTACTGACGATTGTGTTATTCGTTCGTGTTACTAGAAGCTCCTCCAGGTTTGGAAAGATACTATCGAAGTTATATGTTGTCGAAGTTGAAAATTCTAATTTTAACAGGTAAAACGAGTCCGTGACCTACTGGAATCTATATTTATTGTGAGAGCAAATTATGTAACGTGGAACAAGTTACAATATTTCAGGGATGTCTAAGGAAGATTTGACAGCCAGTTCACCATTCGGAGCTCTCAAGCTCACTTATATTTGAATTAGGGTTTTATATTTTGAAATATGATTCACGAAGAACCGTGTCGTGTTTGCAGTGCGCAAAATTGGTGACTCCAAACCACGCAAAAGGCAACAGCTTCGTGCGACGGAATAGCACACCCCTCAAGACTGAAATTAAACCATTCGATAACCGAGGTTAGTGTGATAGTTTGAAGCATTTGATTTATAGTGCCAACTAGGAAAGCGGTATTAGATGAGCACGAACGAACGTATTGTATCTGGAATTCGAAATCAGACAGTTATCAAGTACACAGGACTCATTAGTTCATACAAATACCACAGTTAGGCTAGGTAGTGCAAACGCATCGGTGTTACGCTCATGCACCGAGTTTACACACAACTATATATTTTATTCAAGGAGAGATACAAGACTACTTTTATTATAATATCAACCATGCACCAATACTTTGTAATAGTATTGAAGATGGTTATGAAGCTCTGTAGAATTACGGCCTACTTGGTTATTGGTACTGCTCTAATAACAGACCTAATCCTCAGATCGTAGATTTTTCATGATGTAACTGCCTAATCTATAAGATCTCATGTGGAAATCACATCATTGTCTACACTGACTCATTGAATCGTAATAATCACAAATATATGACGGAGAACACATTTAAGCTGGAGACAACAATATATTTAATATGAATAAAAGTGATAGGTTACACAACAATAACCACGCCTTCAAGGCTGAGCCGTGTCATCCGATTTGCTAGATTTCGAATTCTTCCCGCCTTCTTTATAGTTAACTTTCTCTTCGTGCTCATTGTTGGATATGTGTCTTTTCAGCAATTATACGTTCTGCTTCAAAGGTCGTGTGGTTAGGGACAATGCCACTACAGCTCTATAAACACCGAATTATAATTTGTGTTTAGCAACGTTGAGTATAACACATAAATATCAGATGGTGTATTATCTTCAATGGCATGAGAGTTTAGAGACCCGTCATTTTGATTTTGTCTTCGTTTAGATCGGACGATGTTCGTTGAAGGGCTCACCATTTTGGTGGCCCAATGATCTGACTCCATTTAGATCGTATGAATGATTGTTATCGCTGATTCTCGTATATCATACTCGACTTAAATCGCATTATCCAATAACAGAATTAAATAAGTCGAATGACGAGAATTGATTTATGAATACATATATTTTGTATATGAAGTGAATGAAACAGAGCCGAGCAAAATGACGCACAGGGAGGATGGCTGGGAAGCCAACTCCATTTTAACTAAGCGTTACTCAATATTTATAGGCAGACAAAATAAGGATACAGACATGTGATTAATGGGATAAGAAGGGCACACACATATACGCCCATATAAAAACAGTCTAGATTGATAAGCGAATAAATAACAAGGTCAAAGTGTGGCTCGAGTAGAATGAATAAAATGGGATGTCTGGAAGCTAGAATAAGGCATATGGGCTTGGCATAATAACTGACACTACAAGAGAAAGAAATGACTAATTTCGTCTATGTGATCATAATGGCTCCATATTTTTAATTTGTCTGTAACACTCCATCACTAACAACTCATTATACTTCATTTTCTGGTTGTAAATAAAAATTAAACTGCACTCACTGACCACAATGCGCTTACAAACCTTTTATAAATTATGCTCGGGTTTCGATTGTTAAACCGAAGTTGAATGTGGTTTTCTGAGGCTATGAGGCAAGTGCTAATGACCAACATCAGCATCAAGGAGCCGCACACATTCAGAGTTTAAGAATGTCTTTAAATGTAACACCTTTATAATCGAAATATACCACACCAGTCAATTCAAAAGTCAGAAATGAAGTGGTTCGAAGATGTATCTTGAGAGCTATCGATATGTCAAGAAGCCTTTTGTCTGAGCTGAATAACAATTGCAAGGGATTCGTAGCACAGCATACGCACTCGTGATCTGGTGCGGATACATGATCGAAGGCCTTCAATTAGGTGTGTTCAGTAAAACCAATGAATTTACCATTAATGTTGTGAACTTACAATACCATTTATTTTGGGGATTCATTCAACGACACAAGTGAATCTTTAATAGTTTTTGGTAATCGTCGTTGTTTCTTGTATATATGAGGCCTATTTTTATCAATTATTTCCGCCTAATTTAGTCTTCAAAACTGTGATCGTGTATTTGTTTCGATTGAGGATTGTTGGTAATCAAGGAGCATAAAATACCTGTTTTGTGTAAAAAGAACTACTTTTTATTGTGCACTATAGATATCTCTAGGTTTGAACACGTTACTCACACGTCTCACCATTGAACAATTGTTTCCTGTCTGATTTAGGAGGCCAGTCACAAGTAACCCTACGAGATCTTGAAATGGTATTCCAAAGTGACTTGTAGGACTGGTACATCTCGTTGAATAAGATGTTGGTTAAATTCTCGAGAGATAGGATTATAAATATTTTTATGAGCATTTTACATGGTACCCCAATACCCTTTCCTTCTGTCTCTTGTATTCTAACCCAAATAGTCAGTTGTACGGAAGATAAGCACGTAGCAAATCGTGTAACAGTATCAGTATTTGAACAACGATCATCATAACAGTATATGACCTCGTTAATTCTGACAAGCACATGCGAAAATAAATAAACTTGAGAAGATCAGCCTAGATGAATGTTGCAGCAGCAGGAAAAAGGTTCTCAATCTTCATAATTGAAAATGGTTGAAATGATTTCACAGAAGTCGTCGATTGGCAAGATACCATCAGTAACAACCTAATGTGGGAGAGAACAAACCAGGTTCGAGCTGAAGTGGGGAGTAGGAAAAGAATCTGGAAGTCCATAGGACATAGAATACTGAGATCACCGAACTACATCACGAAGCAAGAAGTAACATGAAATCCTAAAGGAAGGTTGAATAACACACTGAGTCGAGAATTAGAAGCAGACATGAGAAAGATAAAATAGCAAGTCCCAGAACTTTAAAAGATTGTCAAGGATATAGTTGGATAAAGAATTT